ATTATTTTTAAAAGTAGGAAACTATTTGAGACAATACAATGTAAAAATGGGCTAGTGATCGCCAACAACTGACGGTAGATCACCATACTAGGGACCATGGGGACTTACAGTGCTTTTGCTACCTGCATGGAGCCTAGTTGGATTTAGTCTCTTGAAATACGAATACCCTTAAAGCATTGAGGCTGACATTTGTTTCTGTTGCTTAAACAGATAAGACAGTAAACATCACTGGCCATGGAGGGAAAGGGCATGTCAGAAAGGTGGCCACCGTTGGTGCTGAGTTTGCTAAGTCAGAGGTCATAGAAATAACTCTAGATAAGCGTTCAGCAATATCTCATAACTAACTGTTGCGTGTACATTCATGCTTTATAAACGCAAAGTGTGTACTGCAAGATAATTGGCTGAAAACGTTAAATGGGATTTCATTCTGCGAAGAATTACTTTATTTGTAGAAAAGCATGCCTGTTTACAGTCTGAAAGGGTACTAATGATCTTGTTAAAATCGATACTAGTTTGATCACAATATATCTGGAGGACTTCCATTTAAAACTTATGTAGGCATCTGTTAACAAGTTAGGTTATCACAGAAGCAAAAGGCGTCATCAGTCGTATAATGACATATTCCAAATTCATCTCACACAGCTATGAACGTTCAGACAGACCGATATGAAAAACCTCTCATAACATTTATAGAGAATACTATACGAGGTCTCATTACATACGAATTATACGAAACTCGTGTCCTTCCTATGGTATCTAACCTACGTGACTGCCATCATTCCGCCCGGGACACAGCACAAGAACGGTTTGGAGCCCGGAGAATGTCCGACCAGACAATCAGGAACCGTCTCCGAAGGGTACGTATGCGTGCCAGACGTCCACAAGTTGCCCCCTCTCTAACACGATTACATCAACGTCCGTGAGTCAGGTGGTGTAAGGCGGTGCATCCATGGAGCCTTGGAAACTGGAGGCACATATGGTTCAACGATGAATCGCGGTATCCCCTCAAGCGACGTGACGGAAGACAACGTGTCTAAAGACCACGCAATGAACGTTTTGCATCCAACTGCATCAGGCAAGTGGACAGATTTGGTGGAGATGGTGTGATGATGTGGGGAGCCATCTCATACACCAGCAGATTGGAACTGATGCTCGTCCTAGGCAATCTTACGGCCGCGAGATATACCGACCAGATTCTCTGTCCTCACGTGCATGGTCTTGTCGACCGCCAAAGGTAGCTGTACCACCAGGACAACGCCAGACCTCACACAGCACGATCTACAGTGGACTACCTGGACAATAACAAAATCAATGTCCTCCCCTGGCCCCCCAGATCCCCGGATCTGAAACCAATTGATTACATGTGGGATCAGATAGATAAACGTGTACGTCAACATCGTAATCCGCCATTGAGGCTTTAACAGTAACTGTTGTTCAACATGCTGCAGGAGGAATGAGAGGATTCCACAACGAAACATCCAACAACTGATTCAATCTGTGTCAAGGGGGTGTCGTGCAGTTCTAGCAGTAAGAGGTGGCCATACAAGGCAGTAACGTCAACGTCACCTCGTAAACAGCAGTAATGACCATGATGACTGTCATTCTTGTGAAATGTGCACGAGTTACCAATGTGTTGCTCTACATAATTTCAATGCTGTACCGTTTATTTTCGTTGATTTACATAATTGAATAACACCGAATTTTTCAATGATATTTTGCTTTTGCGTTTCTTTTTTTGAAGAGTGTACTTCGGTACCTTCGGTTTTGGCAGAAGCACTTATGAGCATAGTGATTATTATGCATACATCTATTATTGAGATTCATGATATATAATGGTAGTTGTAAAACACCCACCACAAGGTACATTTTGACATACTACATGCCTATGTTGTGATAGGTGTATACAAATATGTTTTTCTCAGATTGTTGTTGCAGCTCGATTATGGGTACCGATGTCCAGTTACCCCAGAATGACACTTATAATCATCAGAAAAAATGGAACCATGATTTTTCTGAATCTATATGCAATACTGATCAGAATTCTTAGTGGTGCAGAAAATTAACATGCACATCCCACGGGAAGCATTTTTGCTACATAAGCCCCTGCACTACGAGGCAGTGAGCTACCACATCTATGCAGCTTCGCCGACCGATGAGTTCTCTCGCTCATGTAAACATTTTGGCAGACTGCCAGTTTTGACGTCAGAGCAATTCTGGGTATATCGATTGCAAGCCCTGAGATACATCTCCTCTCCGTTCAACCTGATTAGGCAGTTATGGACGCTAACAGGTATGTATGCATGTGTGTGTGTGTGTGTGTGTGTTTGTGTGTTGGTGGTGTTGGGGTGGGTGGGGGTTTACAGCCATAGACGGTTGAATCAATCGTTCTTGCAAAATGCATAACACTGGCTCATATCAATGTGTGAGTGTGTGTGTGAGAGAGAGAGAGAGAGAGAGAGAGAGAGAGAGAGAGAGAGAGAGAGAGAGAGAGAGAGAGAGAGAGAGAGAGAGAGAGAGAGAGCAAATGATCGTCTGGTCACTGGATTGTCTGATCGAGATTCTTACTTATAGACGGTGCTCATTTACCTGCAATCAAGCAAACAAACCTACCTTCCTTTGTAAACTGATTCGGCAGATATGGACGCTAAAATGTATGTGTGTGTGTGTGTGTGAGAGAGAGAGAGAGAGAGAGAGAGGGGGAGAGAGAGAGCGAGCAAATGATCGTCTGGTTACTGGTTGTCTGATCGAGACTCTTACTTATAGACGGTGCTCATTTACTTGCAATCAAGCGAACAAACCTACCTTCCTTTGTAAACTGATTCGGCAGATATGGACGTTTAAATGTGTGTGTGTGTGCGTGCGTGCGTGCGTGCGTGCGCGCGCGCGTGTGCTTGGCGTGTGCGTTTGCGTGTGTGTGTGTGTAGATGTTTTTATTGTTAGACAAGCTTCTGTTATGTTTAAACTAATGAGTCAGTATGGCGCCCCATGGTCTACATCTAGGGTTACCCGTGAAGATCCGGGGGAGAATAGGTCTTCAGCAACCCATGTGCTTGCCATAAAAGGCGACTATTCTTGTCGTAAGAGGAGACTAACGGGATCGGGTGGTAAGTTTCGCTGACTTGGTTGACACATGTCATCGGTTCCCAATTGCGCAGATCGATGCTCATGCTGTTGATCACTGGATTGTCTGGTCCAGACTCGATTATTTACAGACCGCCGCCATATAGCTGGGATATTGCGGAGTGCGGCGTAAAACTAAGCTCACTCACTCACTCACAATTAGGCTGCTGACATCGATGGCGCGCTTAAGAAAAACAATGAGGAAGTTCTGTGGACAGGATTTAGTGAGAACACATTCATTGTATAATTCACCCGATTTAGCATAATTTCTGAAGCTTTATCTTTGACCTTTGAATGACCTGTGCAGTTTTTAGTAAGACCTATAGACAGACTGATCTGGAAAGGGATACTAGTTAGCTGCAATCAAACAATCAAACAAACAAACCTACCTTCCTCTGTAAATTGATATGGACGCTAAGATGGATGTATGTATGTATGTACGTACGTACGCATGCATGCATGCATCCATGTATGTACTAGTGTGAGTGTGTGTGTGTGTGTGCGCGCATGCATGTATTAATGTGTGTGGGGCAGGGGCTTGGGGGAAATTGGTTTCGGTGTGGCTGGGGGAGAGAGGTAGGTAGGCAGTGTTTAATTGAAGTGAGACAAGGAGCTACCACACCTATGCAGTGTACATACTTTGGAGACATGTGCCAGAACTTACCCCTGGGTACATTCTTCTTCGATCGATAGGTTATCTCTCTCATGTGACATGTAACACTTTGGTAGACTGCCGTTTGTGACGTTAATCACTTCTGGGTATATGCATTCATGAGGTGGATCAAGCCCTGCAATAAATCTCCACTGCGTTCAATCTGATTCGGCGGATATGGATGCTAAGAGGTGAGTGTTGGTTTGGGTGTGGATGTGTGGCTGGGGGCGGCTGGGGGTAGATAGGTAGGTAGGGAGATAGGTTATTCTGAAATTCTGTCCAGGCAGGGTATCCCAGGTTATAGTGGTCACACTATATGCTGGTCTTCTAACTGCTTGTAATGGGATATGAGAGGCAAGAATTAACTCCTCATATACATAAGAAAAAAATAAGAAAATTCAAAGGCTGTGATTCTGGAAATGATAGACTCTTAGTATCCCTTTCCAGATCAGTCTGGCTATAGGTCTAAACAGCACCACTGCCAGATTCTACAAAATTACAGTTGGATCATTCTTGCACAATGCATAACACTGCCTCATATTAATGCATGTGTATGTGTGTGTGCATGCGTTCGTGTGCGTGTGCGTGTGCGTGTGTGCGTGTGCGAGCATGTGTACATGGGCTAATGATTGTCTGGTCACTGACAATCTGGTCTAGACTCGATTACTTACATACGGTGCTCATATGGCAAGAAACAAACAAACCTGCCTGTGTAAATGTGTCTGTTAAGAAATATTCATGTATTTTCATTCGAGTATTCTTATTTTGTATCATGTGTTCTGTAGTTGTTCACGCCTATTCACCCGGTATAATTTCGCCATTTCATTTTTATCATAAATGTCAACCACAATCGGACTGAGTATTGACATGCACCATGATGTGAAGGACATATGTGTTACCTAACCCAAAGGTTGACCTATGAAATGTGTCTTTCACTGCGTATTTACATCACATTTTGTGTTGAACAAACGTAACAAGAGTTACTATTTTAACTTACAATACCTACGAAATATGTCAGTTATTGTTTCAATCGACCGTTTTTAAACAGAAAACATTTATGTTTTTCCCCGCCCCAAGTGTTCAAACACTCATTCAACACGGACCCTCATGTTTCGATTTTCATTTCAAAAGCCTTATTATTGCATGTTGATACAACATTATTACTTTTTTGTGTGCAATGTACACAAAATTTCTTTTGATCTGTTCAGAATAATCGTTTATTTTACAGTGATGATTCTTACAACAGTCCAGCTGAAGATGAGAACACTGCTATAGAGAGAAGTTTTATGAACCTCAGAGATATTGAGGTGAGATGTATGAAAGCAGCTCGTATGTGTTACGCCTCATCGAGTACATATGAGCATAATGGCTTCTATATCAGATGTGTTGGAGCAGTAGCATTTGGTGTGACATCATCGCTTTCTGGTCCTGTAATTGAGCATTTTGTTAAGCCCTACACCCAGTCACACATTTTAGATTCCGAGTTCTTACTATATTTGATTGGAACTGGACTTGCCATCGTCATCTTCTTTGGTGTGGTACGCGCAGTAGAGAAGGCTATCGGAGCATGGTACGACGAGAAGGCTCCAAAGTTCAACGAAGCTGCGGCCGAGTGGCAAGAACTAGAATTGCGGATCAAAGCTTTCCTTGCTGCTGCTGTCAAAGACACAATTACAGTTCAAGACTGCAAACTATTCACAGAAGAGTGCGCAAAGAAACGCAAGGAAATTTGTCTTATTGCTTGTCCAGACCAATCCGTCTACAAAAAGTACCAATCTGACAATAAGGTCCTTATCGAACGTATGGAAAACCTCCGAGAAATGCATAAGAAGAGGAGAAAAAAATCATCTGTTCTCTTGTTAGTGCATGCTCCTTATCGGCAGTAGGGCGTGTTGTATATGTGAAACAACATTATGCTATGTCATATTATTCTCTTGTTAAACATTGTTGTTTTCTACCAGCAGTAAAGCATTCACGACATACTAGTATATGCCTCACCTGCTGTTTTGCCTTTGGCGCTATGTATTTTGTTAGCAGGATTGTATTTGTTCCCCAGAATTCCCCCCAAAATATATTTTCCCATCATGTCGGATGGTTTCATAAGTCCTTTCTTATTCTCCATACTGAAAGGCCGCAGGCCCATAGTGCATATACTGCAATGTGTAAGCAGAAAGGATTAGTAATTACGTTCTCACTGATATGGCATGGAAATATACACTGATATGGTACGACCTGATGTTATTGTTTTACTGGCTGATTTCATCAGTAAACACACATATTTACATTTAGATCAACAAAGAATGGTTTTATATCTTTCAAGTTTCTATATTTAGTAAATACATGTACTAATTAAAGGGATATTCATCATGCACAATATCTTACAAAGGTTTGTCTTACTGATACTAATAACATTTTGACAGTTTGTACCATTTTTGCATGAATACCTGTTAAAAGGTGAGGATCCTCCGTTTTGTATCCCTTGTGATGAAAGAATCACAGTTAAGCATGTCTTACTTGACTGTATTGATTTTGCCATCACAAGGGATAAATATATTAATGTCAAAACAGTGAAGAATCTTTTTAGTGTTAATTATCATTTAATCATTGAATTTTTAAAAGAAATAATTTAGAATTGCTAGATAAATTTTGATGAATAGTTTGTAAATAGATATATATTTTATTATTGGTAGTTTAGCTGAGTAACTTAGATTGTTAGTGGCTGTACCCTCAAAGGGGGTTACAGTACTGTAAAATCATTGTCCCCCTGAGAGGGTACGTAAGTCCCAAAACTTTCAAAGTAAACTGTAAATTTACCACATTTTAATCGTAGTATTTTTGTTCTTTTAACTTCCGGCTAAATTTTCCTACAATCGCCAGCGGCTGAAGGGATGGTGTAAATCCAGCTAGGGTCCATGCAGGTAGCAAAGGTACTGTAAGTCCCCATGGTCCCTAGTATGGTGGAGTACCTTCAGTTGTTGGCGATCTATAGCCTATTTTTATATTGTGTTGTCCTCTATAGTTAAAATGTTTTAGATTTAATTACTAGTTTTACATTTATATCTGTGATATTCTAGTTTTTTTTACTTTCCTTCGTTGACAGGATTTAATACTCTATCTTTAATTATTGTTTATATATATGTTGTTTTAGTCACGATATGGCAGAAATATTGCCAAAGTGACTTTAAATTCTAACTCACTCACTCACTCATTGTACCATTTTGGGGATTGTTTGAAAACAGTACCTCCCTACTACTTGTATCGTTGTATTACTAGTATGTTGTTTCTGTTGTAATTGTTCAATGTATCTGGCACTGTACTATTAAACATTTTCAACAATTTATTTGCTTCAGTAATGTTGATGGTGTCTTTCATTCTCCCAAGAGGAAGTTTGAGCAGTACAGTTCAAGTCAACTGGGGTCTGGCAATCTTTAAATATCTTTACAATGTATTATACAAGTACAAAATCCTTTCCACAAACGTCACGCCGAAGACCCGGGTTCGCTTCTTTATATGGGTACAATATGTGAAGCCCATTTCTGGTGCCCCCCGCCCTGATATTCCTGGAATACTGCTGAACGCAGCATAAAATTAAGCTCACTCACTCACACTTTCCACAAACCTAGTCCCCATTACGGTTTCAACTATCTTATGGCCATGTGTTTAGGAATCACTATCAAATAGTCATGATACAATGTGTTAATGGAAAGGTGGGCCTTTTCTGCTCAGCTGGTGGAACTTTTCATAAATCCGTTGAACTTCACGTCAGTTGGTCACCTGAACGGGAACACGAAGTATAAGTCAGGAAAGTAAATTGCCTCGAACATGAGTTTTGTCAATGATGCATCGAATTTGGAATTGTATATAGTACTTATAAACTGATTAAAGAACAATTGAGCAAGGGTCGTACGCTGCTGTCTGACAAAACCTGAAAATGCTTGAAACGTTCTGAAATGTAGACACCTAATGGTTTCCCTGCAGGGATATTCTTCAACATGTGATGAAAGTTTGTACTTTGAAGTCATCCGTCTTCGAACCCGGGTCTTCGGCGTGAGGAGCCAACGCTTTAACCACTTGGCTACCCCACCGCCACTTCTGGGTATGAAGGACATCCTTTGTTTACATAGGTTGTACGGCTTCACGTGCTGTCATCGAAGCCGACGGAGAGCAAACGATGCAGCCAGTTTGATATCCAAATATGTATTGTCATAAACCTTACTGTCGCAGTTGTGAGTGAGTGAGTGAGTTAAGATATAAAGGCACATCGGCAATATTTCAGCCATATCGTGACTAAAACTAGTTCTAAATTCATAATACATACCTATAATATATACAACCCTGTGAGCGAACGACAGTAAGTCGCAATTGTGGAAGAATATATATGTAACACTGTGAAGAGCGCGCCGAAAAGCTTGTGTAAGGCCAGTCTCTTCTTATTATGAATATGCGCGTTTGTTTACAAACAAGAGAAAAGTCCGGTCACGCGATATACAAATTAGCCTGTGGCAGTGATGTTATGCTGTCATCACTGCGCCGGAGTGTGCTAACTGAGAATCATCGGTTATCCAATCAAATCGTTAGAATATCAGGTCAAGTCGACCCAGGTCAATGCGATACGACACTCGTGCGACGTACGAGATCAGTATTCAACTACCCATACGTTGACCACATGGGTAATAAAGTGACCTACCACACCTCTATGTACATGTAATGGATCACACCGTACGTTAACACAAACGAGCTACTATTGATTGTGTAGTTGGCGCGAACGATGCAATTGCATCTCGCTCAACACGTTGGCAGACTGCCAGCTTTGAAGTAGATCACGCCCTGCAACAGATCAGATCTCTCAAACTGTTTCGGCAGAAATGGACGCTCACAGGTGTGTATCTGTCTGTCTGTCTGTCTGTCTGTCTGTCTGTCTGTCTGTCTGTCTGTCTGTCTGTCTGTCTGTCTGTCTGTCTGTCTGTCTGTCTGTCTGTCTGTCTGTCTGTCTGTCTGTCTGTCTGTCTGTCTGTCTGTCTCTCTCTCTCTCTCTCTCTCTCTCTCTCTCTCTCTCTGAAGCATTTCATTATAGATTTGTAATATGCTCTGGAATTATATATAGGTAAAGTTTATGAATGTAGAAGCACTCATGTTAGAATTACAATAGAACATATAATTGGTAAAAGGTTAAGGGTCGAATTTTCCGATTCGCGCCGACAGACGTGTCAAGAAATGCTTCAAATGTAATTAGAATACAATGTGTCATGACCAAATGATATAGGGGCTATAATCCATGACCATTCAGCTTAGAAGACAAGTCGTTTTCATAAACATTTACTACTTGGAAATATCAAAATCTTACAAAGTTTGGGACTAGCTCTCTACCTGGATCGACTGTCTATCGAGGAAATGGTAGTTGATGACGACCAACATCCGGTTGAGCATGTGCAGGGCTTCCCCACTGTGAACACGTTGGCAGACTGCCAGGTTTGAAATAGATCATTCCCTGCAACAGATCTCTCACACTGGTCCACAGATATGGACGCTAACAGTAACAGGTATGTATGTGTGTGTGTGTGTGTGTGTACGTGCGTGAGTGCGTGCGTATGTGTGCGTGCGTGTGTGTGCGCGCGCAATCAAATGATTGACTGGTCACTGGATTTGTCTGGTGGAGACTCTATTACTTGTGTCTGGTCACTGGATTTGTCTGATGGAGACTCTATTACTTGTGTCTGATCACTTGATTGTCTGGTGGAGACTCTATTACTTGTGTCTGATCACTGGATTTGTCTGATGGAGCCTCTATTACTTGTGTCTGGTCACTGGATTGTCCGGTGGAGACACTATCATTTGTGTCTGGTCACTGGATTTGTCTGATGGAGACTCTATTACTTGTGTCTGATCACTGGATTTCTCTGGTGGAGACACTATTACTTGTGTCTGATCACTTGATTGTCTGGTGGAGACTCTATTACTTGTGTCTGATCACTGGATTTGTCTGATGGAGCCTCTATTACTTGTGTCTGGTCACTGGATTTGTCTGATGGAGAATCTATTACTTGTGTCTGGTCACTGGATTTGTCTGGTGGAGACTCTATTATTTGTGTCTGATCACTGGATTTCTCTGGTGGAGACTCTATTACTTGTGTCTGATCACTGGATTTGTCTGATGGAGCCTCTATTACTTGTGTCTGGTCACTGGATTTGTCTGATGGAGCCTCTATTACTTGTGTCTGGTCACTGGATTGTCCGGTGGAGACACTATCATTTGTGTCTGGTCACTGGATTTGTCTGATGGAGACTCTATTACTTGTGTCTGATCACTGGATTTCTCTGGTGGAGACTCTATTACTTGTGTCTGATCACTTGATTGTCTGGTGGAGACTCTATTACTTGTGTCTGATCACTGGATTTGTCTGATGGAGCCTCTATTACTTGTGTCTGGTCACTGGATTTGTCTGATGGAGAATCTATTACTTGTGTCTGGTCACTGGATTTGTCTGGTGGAGACTCTATTATTTGTGTCTGATCACTGGATTTCTCTGGTGGAGACTCTATTACTTGTGTCTGGTCACTGGATTTGTCTGATGGAGACTCTATTACTTGTGTCTGATCACTGGATTTCTCTGATGGAGACTCTATTACTTGTGTCTGATCACTGGATTTGTCTGATGGAGCCTCTATTACTTGTGTCTGG